TTCTGGGTGACATGGCCATGGATTAGTAAGAAATATATACTATATTTAATTAATGCTTTAATTTATATTAGTGGTATTACATGAATTTAGTATATTTTCATGAGGAAACCAATATATTCCTTTCTATTAAGTAGTTCATAAATAATCCAGAATTTTCAAGCACTGGAGATACACTTTATAGATAAGGACATATTAAATGTGTAGTTTGGTTTTAATTATGGTTATTTATAGTATCTATGATTTTGCAGTACCCAAAACCAGAAGTCGTTGTAATATACATGTTGTTATATGCTGATATACATAAAGTAATATACATAAGGTATACTTTGTGTACATAATAGATCTCAAGAAATAAAAACTTTTTTTAAAAAACTGACATCTATTTTATATAATGGCATTATATAAATGGGCTTTGTGAGTTAAAAAAACAAAAGAAAAACCCAGCTTATGAGCTGTTTATTTGAATAGCTAGTAAGTTTCACCCTCCAGTGAGAATTTTGTTAGTCTGAATTGAATACTTGAGGGTCAGGTATATGTCTACCTTTGATAGTTTCCTCAAAGGGGAAGAATATAAGCATTGGAGTTATAAATAAGGCTGCATCTTAATTCTACTAACTAGCTGTGTGACATTGTGCTAGACGTAATCACTCAAACCTGTGCGCTGTCCAATACCACAGCCACTAGTTGTATATGACTCTTGCACTTAAAATGTGGCTAATCCAGGCTGCAGTGTGCTTTAGTGAGTTTCTCAAGTTCTTTATGTCATGATTTGTGTTTTTTTGCTTGATTCAGTTTTATTGCAAGGGTAGAGATTTCAAATCTCACTATTGCAATTTTAATTTTCTTGTCATCTTTCTTTGTCTCATCCCTCTTCTAGACCTTTTTTTTTTCTCTATACTGTTTTTTATTTGGGGCTTTCTGCTCCAATGTGGGCAACGTCACATTGTTTTATCCTCTAATAAGTCCGCTGGATGTTCCATTTCCCTTATAAATTGCTCATGATTCTTTTTCCCACTTCCGTTTACTCAGACATGAATTATTGTGAGGTCTGTTTATATTTGACATTTGTCAACAACAGACTGGTGTAGATGCCTTTGCTGCATTTCTTTTTGGTCCACTTGTATACTGAATGAATACCCTTTTCATCTTTGTAGTTGGAGAGAACAAATTGATCTATACAGCTCTCAGTCTAGTTTCCTCTGTTATAATGGTAGCCTCTTCAGTAGTCTCAACTGTTTTGGTGCTAGAATAGGGTTTTGTGTAATTCCCAAACTCAGGGTGCAT